TTGTTCATAAACTTTATAATTTATCAATATAGAAATCAAAAACAGAACTCTAAATAAAACTCTTAAACTCATATCCGAATATAATTGTGAGAATGAAAGCGTACGTGAATTTTTCATTAGGAATGAAGAGAGAAATCCGGATAAATCATTTTTTTGTTATATATAAATGGGATCATAACCCCTATAAATAACTTTAGGGTTATTTCTTAGTTTTCAATATTTTAATTTGGCTCATCATGAAATTAGATATTGACTTATGGTATCTACACAATTACCTTTCATGACATTTATACTTTTAACCACATACTTATTATTAATTAAACCATTATAACTTTGGCTAATTACATAATGGCCCTAACACATGTAATATTACATTTGTGATAAAAAATTCTAACATGAAATTTTATGAAATGTTTGTTCATGTAGCCACATAAGTAATGTCTTTAACTCTAATATATGCATCAATAAAATTTCTATTTTATTGATATATTTTTTTTTTGTTAGTTTGTTGTTTTATGGGTATAATGTTTCAATTCGACAAATATATAAGTATTGTAGAATAAGTATAATGATTTCTCAAATTTTTATGATTTCATTATATTCTTTTTTTTTCTTTTTCATCTTATAGATCATATCATATAAAATGTATATTGAAGAAATATGTATTATATTTGGACAAAAGATTTAATGTAGAGTATAATATTAACTAAAATTTCATAATCATCTATCACCTAACAAATTATGTTAAATATAAAAAAATATAGTATTTATTCTTCAAATATTTCTTTTATGATATTTTACAAAGCGGTATAATTAATATTTGTGTATAAATTTTTTCGCATGTCTTGATTCACGGTATAATATACATATTAACTGTCTTGAAGTGTAATTGATCATTTTAATAATAAAATTAAATAAAAATAGAAATCTACATCTATATATACATGTAAAATAATCTACATATAAGACAATATGATGACTTCCTAGAGACAACATAACTTAAGTAACAACTCTAAAATATATTTTATTTAATTTAATTAATTTTTTTCTATGTTTAATTATCCTTCTGATAAAAGAATCTCTTTCAAATTTTAACGACACCGATTTTCTTTGGTTGTTTTATTTGCAATGACTATCAATACAAGTCAAGGGCATTCACTCAAATATGTTGGAGTATATTTACCACAAGCAATTTTCTCTCATGGACAATTATATGTTGTCATATCAAAGATCACTTCAAGAAAAGGGTTGAAGATATTGGTGACTAATGATGAATGTGAAGATATAGATACAACATCAAATGTAGTTTACAAATAAGTATTTAATAGTATTCTTTAGTTAATTAATATTTTTTCTTTGAATTTATATATTTTAAATTATCATAGTAAATATTTTTCTAATTTATTATCTTATATTAAAAAATTAATATATAATTTCAATCATAATCTAAATGACCTACAAGATAATTTTATAAGTAAATAAAAAATTAAATATCAATTATTATAAAGAATGTAATTTTATTTCTAATATACCCGTGCGAAGCACGCGTCGGCGATCTAGTTATTAATAACACTAATGTTACTAATATTAGACCTAAAAAAAAATTAAATTAGCAAGCTAAAAATGAAACAAAAAGTCAAAATGGGGTCTCCCTTTGACTTTTGGATCAATGGGTTGACTTTGACTTGTAAGTGAAGGGTTCAGAGGATTTTGCAATGCCATGTTCAGATGGACTTCTAAGCCTCAAATGATCTTTAAGGACTTTAGACAAGGTTATTTGACCCCAAGTGAATCCCTTATGGACCAAGGGTTCCTGTGTATAGGATTCTCACTACCTTCAATCAAAGTCAAGCTGACTTAGATAACCAAGTAGAAATAGGCAGGAAAATTTAGGGTATGATAGATACACACCTTACTTAAGTCTAATAATTCTCTTCCACCAAAAATATTCTAAATTCAAAACTTGGTGCAAAAGGATGATCGGATGAACATTTTCTTTGTCCTCAAATAACCGAATGTAAAGTGCACACTTTGTTTAAGGTCAATTATTCGTCCCTTCTTTAAAATCAATTCCAACTTATCAAACGTATTTTTTTTTGCCGTAGCACGATCAAATCAAAACTTTTTTCATTAAAATCAACCAACCCATATTTTTTTGCTACAAAGAGCTACATATTTTTGAATTCCTCATCGCACCTGAGGATACGTAGAAGCGAGATTCAATATCTGGCCAAGCACTTTAATATAAAAAATTCATTTTTAGTCCTTTTCAATTATTTTATGTAAATAATTTTAATAAAAAAGAAGAAATTTAAACATTTTAAGCTTGAACATTCACAAAACTAATTAAACGGTTTTCATTGAGTACAACAGATATAAGAGGTGCTAATACCTTCCCCATACATAGTTGGCTCCTGAACCTAAATTTAGTTACGACAACCATGTTTACGCTCTTCAAGGGTTTTATAGATGTTTCCCTTTAAAAATAAAACTTTGGTGGCGACTATGTATTATTTCGAGCGTTCACATGCTCAGATAGCTTCTGCGTCGTGACAATTATTGCATCATTGAATTGATTGTATATCACATAAATTCGACTTTTCTTATAGAGTTTTAATGTATAAGCTTAGGTCTGTGGTGTATCAATCTTATTGAAGTATCATGAATTCATTTGTGTCTTGATATAACATATATGCTAAGAGTTTTGAAATAGCTTTGTGTAAAGCTAGTTGAGTTTTCTTGTGATTGACTTGAGTTAGAAGCAGTCAAGTGTATAGTGAACATCGTGTCTTATTTCATATGGCTTAATTTATTGAAATGCTTCCAAAATGTCTTGTTTTTGTGTTTTGCTTCCACGCTACTTAAAATCTATGGTTTCATACATGGGACCTATAATATTTGTGAAATTGTATTAAATGGAAAAGGGTATATTCAACCCCATATTCTAGACCTCTTTGTGTATACATTCTCACCCAACAATTAGTATCAGAGCAGGACTTTTGATCAAAGTCTTGCGACTCCAAAAGTTAAGGATATGGTTCCTTCGATTCTAGACGAGTTTTTCTAATTATTTGGAAGCTTATGCAAGTCAATGAATTACAATGAAATTACATTGATTAACTTATGCCTGATTATTCATTACAATCATTATATAGATTAATTCAAAGCAAAATCTTACTAGTATGTTCTTAAAACATTAATTGTATTTAAGATATTCTCTAAGTTTTGATTCATCTAGGATTGAACTAACAATATTTTGAGATGTGTGCAGTTTGTATTTGACACCATGTCTTGAAGGTTGTTCCAGATTGATCCTAAGTAAAGACGGACGTACATTCCCACTATTATACTGGAAATTTTATGAGAAAAAAGAAGGAAACAAAAGCATCTTCTATGTGATCTATTCTTCCAAGGTTGTCGTAAAAAGAAGATGAAGGCAATTTTTTGGCTATTGACATTGATTCTCCAATGTTTCAACTATTACAAAAGATTCAAGGACTAAAATGTAATCCTTGAAGTGTTAATAAATCGTCAAAGAGTTGAATCCGTTATTCGGGATTCATAAGTTGTATCAATTAGTGATGATCAAACTATTGTCATTCCAAGTTCAACTGACGCCTTATGAAGGGGAGTTTAATAGTATTCTTCAAACGTGCAAAAAAAGTTGTATCCAATTATTATATGATTGTTCGTACTTTAAAGCTTATGTTATTCTTGTTGTTGATGACTAATAGTTCTCGTGTGCAGCAAGTTAAGCCTAGTTTGTCTAAATTTGTATCATCGTTCCAACTCTCCTTTATTTATTTTTTCTATACATAGTTATAATTATTCTACTTGCCTTTGTGTTGTTAGACTACAACGAATTATCCAGGGGAGGAGAGGGGATGAATAGATCCCCAATTAAAAATGACCTTTCAAAAAGTATTATTTAAAAACTTATTTGAAAAACAATGTTGAGCGAAAGGTTTTTGGCCCAGATCAAAATAGTAGTCTAAACGAACCTAGTTATTAGAAACTCGAATATGCACAAGCCATATAGAATTAAGATAATTATAAAATCAATCAACATAATAATATCTCAATTAATAGTTTAATATCAAACACAGCGGTTTCCTATTTCCAATGAAATTAAACAAAACATAGAACAATACAATTTATCAAACACTTGGTGTGCATTCAAATTTTCAGAATTTTTCCTTTGAGTTGTGTTGATATGAAAACAACTTATAATCAAAAGTGATTATATGCAAATCAACACCCCATTCAAAACAAGAAAATTCCTATGAGTCGATAGATTAGTCAATATTATTTGACAAATTGATATAGGAAAATTAAACCAAGTAAAAGGATAAAGGAAAAGAGACATAAGTATTTGTCTACATAGTTCCCCACTTTCATCCTCACGCGTGGGTACATCTGCGTCTAATTCCAATGTGGAACTAGGATACTTTCTTACTTTGCAAAAAGTATGATTACAAGAGAAATGTTCAAGAACAACCCTATAAACCATAACGGTTTGATGTTGATTCAACCCTTTCTCTTTTTTTGATCTTCAACAAGATCAAGATACAATAGTTGCCAATTGGTTATCACTACAAGAAAATTAGGATTTTACGACACAAAAATTGCGACAGTTACTTGATAACCGTCGTAATTCTAATATAGAGACACATTTCACGACGGTATACACCAATCGTCCTTATATATTTAAAAAATTATTAAATATTGCGACAGTTTTTTTAAACCGTCCTAAAATCAATGTCGCGACGGTTAACAAACCGCCATAAAATACACATCACGACGGTATACCAACCGTCGCCCCTCGTAATTTTTCTACCCTATTATTTAATCAACCCAGTTTTATTGTGGCTTATTCCCAAAGAAAAGAACCGCAGACTTTTTTATTTTTCTCTCTTTCTCAAATACAAGTTAGGGTTTTGAATTGCATTTTTCTAAAGGTTACAGTATCGCGTACGAGTTTTTCAGATCAAACAAAAAAAATGTCGATCTTCGAGTACAATGGAAGTGCCCTAGTAGCCATGGTAGGTAAGAACTGCTTCGCCATTGCCAGCGATCGAAGACTCGGTGTTCAGCTTCAAACCATCGCCACCGATTTCCAAAGGATTTCCAAAATTCACGATAAGCTCTTCATCGGTCTTTCTGGCCTCGCCACCGATTCTCAGACACTGTAACCTTCTTCTCACATTTTTTATTTTTAATTTTTGCTTTTTATTTTGCAATTTTCTGATTTTTGTTGTTGTTTTTCGTTATTCAAGGTATCAGCGTCTTGTTTTTCGTCACAAACTGTATCGGCTTCGTGAAGAGCGTGATATGAAGCCGGAGACATTTGCTAGCTTGGTGTCGGCTATTCTTTACGAGAAACGGTATTGCTATTTAGATCTTGTTTTTTTTTTTGAATAGAGAAGATTCTTTTGTGAAGCTAATTGAATGATTTGTTTGTTTTTGTGGAATTAGGGAAGATCTATTTGATGATTGTAAATAGTTTAGATTTAGATGCAGTGAGATTAGTTCAAGTTTATGAATATGTATAAGGTTTTAAATTGCGGCTTTTGCAATTTCGATGTCTTGTAACAGTTATTGCGGTCGCCGCGGTGTGATTTAATCACAATTTGTTCTTTATCTTAGAAACGATAAATAACGGTATCAGTATCAACACCTTCAATACTGTTTTGTTGCGGATTTTTTGCGGTAACGGGCTGTTTTCTAAAACCTCGTGGCTTTATTTACATTTTGACTTTTTTTTATGTGTGACCCTAAAAGCACTCGGTGTCGCACCAATGATATTTTTCATATACATTAGTGGTGGGAGTAGAGGGATTGGATCGATAGTTACGTTAGTGATGATGATTTGGATTGATATCCAAAAATCTGTCGTTGCAGTGTTTCATTTGAATCAAAGAAAACACTGCAACAACAGATTTTTTTATATATATTTTGAGCTTGAAAAGAAAGATCTGTGTTGGCATATCTTGTGAGCTTGTTTACTTTTGGGTTAAGAATGATATTTTCTGGGCCTGGTTAAATTTATTGCGTGTAAAAGACCGTGATGATTGGTTCTATGCTATGGAACTGATGCACGCAGTACTACTTATCTTAGGGGAGAGGAATTATTTATATTCTGGATTTTGCAAATAATTACGAAATGCTGAGTTTTACTACTGAGCCTGCATTATGAGCCTGTATTATTCTGGATTCTTATAATTGTTTTACTTGGAGAGCATATGTTCCTCCCTCTCTTGGTAAATGTTATTTAATTATAGTAGTAAATAGCTCTGCTAATATATTATATGTTGTGGTTAGTATATTTTTTTCTGGGGAAATACAGGGGTTTGTCCTTAGGGTGTGAAATTTTGCCACATGTAATTAGCAGAACACTTATCTTAAAGTAGTTCGTTAGATAGTTCTGTATGAAGCGTCTCGCTCAACATTTCTTCCTTCTCCCCCACTTCCCTCAATTTTTAATGTGCATTGGTTATGTGTATTCATTATGATTGAAATAATCTAACATCCTGAGACACTTTTGATTTTGATTTTGATTCAGGATACTAGAGTTGCATTATTGTTGACTGGAGTGAGAAGTTTGCAGACAATTACAGGATGTACTCTAGGCATGGATTTGTCGTTCGTCATGAAAAGTTTGCAGACAATTACAGGATGTACTCTAGGAGTCACTTTGTCAAAGGGATTGAGCTCACAATATTGCTCATTTGTTATATGATTTATGGATCAGCAACAACTGACTCAGCAGCATACGCATTTCTGTCATGGTCAATGTGGTTTTTGGTTAGCTCTTGGTTGTTTGCTCCTTTCCTTTTCAATCCATCAGGATTTTAATGGCAGAAGATAGTTGAGGACTGGGATGATTGGAATAAATGGATTAGTAGTCGAGGTGGTATTGGTGTTTCTTCAAACAAGAGTTGGGAGTCATGGTGGGATGAGGAACAAGAGTTAGGAATAAATGTAACATTTTTTGTAATTCTCTCAAGTTGTAGCAAACCAATGTAAATATTAAAATGAAATTTGGCCTTTGATGATATTTGAATTTTTCTTGTTTATTGGTAAAATTTGCACTTCTTTTTACCTTTGATCACATTTTTTTGATATTATTGATGATTATTTGATATTAAATGTTTTTATTGTAATTAACTTTATTATGTTGAAAAGTGATAGAAAATAAAATAAAAATACTATAAATAAAAAAATATTAAAGTAAATAATAATTTAAATATAATAGTAAAATATTATAGTAAAATAATATTATATTTAAAATTATTTTACTAAATAATAATTTAAATAAAAATATTATTTGAAATTTATAAATCAGATTACGACGGTTAAAACCGTCGCAATTTCTAACCTACGGCGGTAGAATAACCGTCGCAAACAACAACAAAAACAAAAAATAAAGTCAAATTCACGACGGTATATAACCGTCGCTATCTGTTGTGCGTGACAGTTTTTGCAACCGTCGCGAAATAGGCTGGGGACGCACGATTCTGCGACGGTACTTCTACCGTCGTAGATTGTAAATTGCGACGGTTTTAACCGTCGTAATCAGCCAAAATAACCGTCCCAATCTATCATTTTTCTTGTAGTGTATCTGGATCTTGCTAGTCCTTTGCGTACTTTATCTCCAAAGCTTTCGCACACCACCGATTTCAACTATTACAACACAAGACTTCAATTTGATTCGTTGTTCTCTCGCTATTTCCTTTAAGTTCTTTATCTCCAAAGGATCCTTTGCATTCTTTATCTCCAAAGGATCATATGCATTCATTATCTCCAAAGGGCTTCACTTGGCCACAATCTTCTTTTGAATGTCTTGTACAAAAATCCTCAAATCAATCAATGATCTTGGAGGATAAACCCGCAATTTTTCAAGATGAAGACCCTTACAAATACCGACTCAATATTCTCGGCTACACAAGAACCTAATTGGACGTTATCAAACCCTATATAGATGGTACCCCAACAAAGAATCATTATAATGGTTTGTTAGTGTGTATGTATAAGTTGGAGGTTGAATATGAATAGCAAATGTAGGATATTTTTATGGTATCATCAAGTTGGAATGATGCATGAATGGTGTATTTATAGTTGTGGACTTTTTAGGCAAAAGAGAAAAGTTTCAGAATGAAAAAATTATGAAAAAATGACCCATAAAACAATATGTGTCGACCTGAAAAAATTATGTGTTGACACAAGCAAAATAGTAGCTACAAGCTTTAAAATTGCAATACACGTGTCGACGTGAAAGTCATATGTGTTAGCGCATGTGCCTGTGTTTTAAAACAGAAATGCTGAAAGTGCTACAAGCTTTAATATTGAACCACATGTGTCGGTGCATAAATTGGATGTGTTGACACATACTGAAACTTTTTAGGAAATGTCAAATTTTTTATTTTATGTGTCAACACATACGAATTTCAAGTTGACACATAAATATGTTTTTATGAATAAACTAATTTTTCATGATTAGGACCAACTTCAAACTTGTTTTAAATCTAAGATCTCTAATGCAAGGGAGTGCCACATGACATAGAGATATCGTTCAATATACACAAATTCTAAGTTTTCCTAGTTTTGACATCATGCAAAACATCTAATGCTGAAGTTGCACTCACACACTCCCCATTTTTTATGATGGAAAAACTTATGACGATGAATTTCATGTAGTTACCAAAGGCTCCCCCTGACTTTTGTGATTCCCAAATTCATCTGGAATATGCTTCTCCCCCTTTGACAACATCAAAAAGAAAGAAGGCAAATCGTGAGAAGTATCATGTTCCAATACCAATACTAATATATCACTTAGAGGCGTTTTTGCAAAGAAGAGCATGCAATTACATATCCCCATATATATATATATATATATATATATATATATATATATATATATATATATATATATATATATATATATATATATATATATATATATATATATATATATATATATATATATATATAAATAATGATACAAAATTAATAGATAACAAGCATAAAACATTACCAAACATGTAATGCAATTGCATTAATAATTATGAATGTGATGCAAGAACAAGCTAGTCAAGTTGCTTATATAGCGTCACAATTATGTAACACAACATAATGAAACTCTTGATGCCGCACACGCATGTTCCTTGCATAGCGACAACAACATGTAACTACTCAACCCAAAATGAAAATATTGTCATGAAATGTGACTCAACTATAACAAGAATCGTAAACGCAATTAACATGCATACTTTCAACTCATGAACGAGTGCAAGAAATAATAATAGAAACACATGCTTGTACATCCACGAACAAACATATACAAATATGAAAAAATTAATACATGAAGTCATTATAAGGATATACATTGAGAACTCACAATGGTTATCAATCAGATTTTAGAAATGAACATTCATGGTTTTCATCATTTAAAAACATAGCAAGCATTTTTCATCAACTAAAACATGTACTAAGAAAGGTCTTACTTTCAAGAAGAAATTTGAAACAATATTATCTCACTCTTGATGGAATGGAAGTTGCGCTCACATGATGTAAAACACTATAAAAAGTTAGAAAAAAAGTATAAAAGTGCAAGCATCATAATAAAGAAAGCAATATTGGAGACATTAATAATCCCCAATTCCTCATGTTTGTTGAAAAACAGTTTGGTTGCAAACGTTTTATGAAAAACATCTGCAAGTTGATTTTAACTATCAAAATGCTCGAACACAACATCCCCTTTTCAACATGATAACAAAGGTAATTCCCCATGCATGTGTTTCTTCCTTGAGTTACTTTATTTGGAGTCCAAGAAAGTAATTCAACTCCCCATAAGACTCATTTCAAACATGTTGTGAATTCAATGCCAATAACAAAGTATAGTATTTGGGAAGAATAAAGAACAAGGAAGAAGAAGAACACAAGAATTGGTTATAACTGCTATTCTTTACTTTCTCTTTGAAAACAAGATTACAAGTTTACAAGGATAACAAATAACCCTCTCACCCTAATTAGGATTTGCTGTGTTGGCAATGATGAGAGACTAGTATGCTATTTATAATAAAACCTAACATACTAACTAATGGGCTTTTTCCACAAGGCCCATTATACAAGCTAACTTAACAAACAAGCTAACTTAACAAATTAGGGTTTAAACACTAAAACCTAATTCGACAAGCATCCTTCGACAAATACATGCTAGAACCTTCTTCGACTACAGCAAGTACTTCGACCAACTAGAGTTCGATCCAAAATCCCACAAATCTCCACCTTGGACCTAACTCTACAGCATCAAGAGACACTAACTAGCTTTCTTCATGCAGCTTTATCAACTGCATACAGTGGAAAAACTTGCAACTTGGCAATGTTTTGGTGATCATATCAGCAGCATTGTGATCTGTCGAGACCTTCAGCACTTGGACTTCTCCACGCTCGATTACCCCTCTGACGAAATGCAGCCTCACATCTATGTGCTTGGTTCGCTCATGATAGGCTGAGTTCTTCGACATGTGTATTGCACTTTGACTATCACATTTAACAGTGATACTTTTACCTTGAAGTTTCAGCTCCTTTGCAAAACCTTCAAGCCACAATGCTTCTTTCACAGCTTCAGTTAGGGCAATATATTCTGCTTCAGTAGTTGATAAGGCAACAACCTTCTGAAGAGTTGCTTTCCAACTAATTGCTGTACCAAACATAGTGAAAACATATCCAGAAATAGATTTCCTGGAATCCATACATCCTGCATAATCAGAGTCAACATAGCCTTCGACTGCTGCTTTACTATCTTCACCCAAGGCTCCACCATAAATTAAGACTCTGTTCAGAGACCCATTTATGTACCTTAAAATCCACTTTAACGCTTGCCAGTGAGCCTTTCCAGGATTCGCCATGTATCTGCTTACAAGACTTACTGCATATGCTATGTCGGGTCTAGTACAGACCATAGCATACATCAAAGAACCAACTATATTAGCATATGGGATGCTGTTCATATAGGTTCTTTCGACATCAGTACTGGGACATTGATCAATGCTCAGCTTGAATTGAGGGTTTGTTGGAGTCACAACAGGCTTTGAATTTGACATACCAAACTTGTCAAGAATCTTTCGTAGGTATGCCTCTTGAGATAAGCATAATTTCGACTGCTTTCTATCTCTTCGAATGTCAATTCCAAGAATCCTAGATGCAGCTCCCAGATCCTTCATGTCGAACTCCTTATTGAGTTCAGCCTTCACCCTCATTACATCTTCGACATTGTTGCTTGCTATCAGAATATCATCAACATAGAGCAACAAGATAACAAATGAATTTTCCGGTCGAAATCTGGAGTAAACACAGTGGTCGAACTGACTTCGAATGAAACCTATGTGTTCCATGAACTTGTCGAATCTCTTATTCCACTGTCGAGGAGATTGTTTAAGTCCATATAAAGATTTCTTCAGTTTGCACACATAATCTTCTTTCCCCTTTTCGACATACCCTTCAGGTTGCCTCATCAGGATCGTTTCATCTAAGTCACCATACAAGAACGCAGTCTTCACATCCATTTGTTCCAGTTCAAGGTCGAACTGAGCCACCATGGCAAGCAACATTCGAATGGATCTGTGCTTCACAACAGGGGAAAATACATCATTGAAGTCGACACCTTCTTTCTGAGTGAAACCCCTTGCGACTAATCTTGCCTTGTACCTCTTTGACATTACTCCTTCAATTCCTTCCTTAACTTTGAAAATCCACTTACAGCTGACTAACCTTGCCCCAACAGGTTTCTTGATTAGTTCCCAAGTGTGATTATCATGAAGAGATTTCATCTCATCATGCATGGCCTTTAGCCA